CAACTCATTTGAAGTTTCTCCCACTGGATTAAATAACTCTCCCACTAAAGAAAACAAATTTTCTTCTTGAGTTATATAAATCCTAATCATCAAGCTTGACTTTATAAAAGAACATATTTCTAGTAATAATTATTGTCTGAAAACTACACTAGGATTATCAATATAATACCTAGTACTTTCTTTAGGATAACCTACTAGTAGGATGTTATTTACCTTAGACTCCCATTTTGTCCATATAATATTCTCTGATGAGAATATGACAACTCCAGATCTCCAAGCGTCATACACTTAATTTTCTTCATATCCATGTCTAATATGGAGTGAAAGAAAAAGATTTGGCAGGAATTCTACATAATAAATAATATGCAATCTCCAATGCATAACCTATTAGAAAATAAGAACAGGTTAATGCCCAGCATAAACCTAACCATATCGAATAAGGTTTAGTTCCATCTTTCAGACAAATAATTAGGAGTGATAAATTAGTAGATGTCAAAGTACTAACAATTCCATTTTGTTCATAAATCTCTTAAATTCCTAAAATTAGGAACTTGCCATCTGGATCAAATCAGATGATTTTGATACTTTTATCAAACTCCTCTTTAACTTCAATAACATTCTAATTTATGATGCAATCACATAAATATTTAACTATTGCTTTAACATTTAAAGGATCATATACATCTGAATGTATGAAGTCAAGAGTACGCAAGAGCTTTAGCACTATTTTAGAAAAATAGTTTGGTCATATGTCTCTTAGAAAATATTTACAAGTTGAGAAATATTCTAATTTAGAAAAATCAAAGGACTATCCTTTATCAATTTATTGATCTTATCAACATTAACATGACCTTGTATTTTTGTGCCAAAGATAAGTTGGATTACCTTGATCCAATCTATATTTTAAGAGATTTATCAATTCCAATAACATTACATTACATAAGAGTTAAGGGTGGCAATCATGAAAATAAACAGTTTTAATTTCATAATTATCAACAAAGCAATTTCTAAACTTTTAATAGAAATTCTATTTTACAAGAAAATAGAAAATCACTACAAAAAATTTACAAAATAGAAATCAAATTTCTTCTAACTTTAAGAAACATTAAGACAATCTTTAAATTTTATTTCATGCCCTTCATTCAAAACAGAAACAAATTTCTTATTATTATTATTTTTATTTACAATGCTGAAACTAGAGCTTTTATTTTCATTGTCAAAGTTAAGCTTTTCATGTACTCTTACAACAAATTTGTAAGTATGTAAAGATAAACTAGAATGAATACATCATATATAAAAATCATTCACATTAGTAGACTCTACTAATCAATGGGTGAACTGTCTTCAAAAGACATTTCTTTATTAAGTGACATAATGTAACATTTACAATTTTCTTTTCTAATGACTTTCATTATTTAAATTTCCGCTTCATGTTTAGAAATCTATTTTACTTTTTAGATTTCCCTCTTAAGAAAATTTTCTTTTCTTAATACTGGACAATCCAGTTCGATATCCATCATTATGGATTTAACCTGCTTAATAATATTCTTTTCACTTTTTCTTTAACAAGTTGTTCAATTCTAATACAATGGTAGTTAAATTAAACAAGGAGTGAGATTAGGAAGTAAATATCACATCAACGTTTGATTTCGATCTTAACTTCCAACAAATCTAATTTGTCAATATATATCAAAACATCATATGAAAATATATATCTGTTTTCATCTTATGAACATTACTTTTATCATTATTATCTTTAAGCAGGATTATGACTGATGATCTTTATCATCAGTTACATCTGGTTTTAGCGGATATGTCACCTTAGACAATCATAGGTCAAAAATTCAGCATTAGAAAATTAAATAGATTTCTTTTCCAATCCAATAGTTCGGGCTATCTAATTTATAATCATTCAATAACATATCAAAATGACAGAATTTAGTCATCATGTATAAGCAGAATATAATAACACAAATATTGCAAGTTATTATTTTATTATTGCACAATCATTACAGGGATATTTTAAGTAATGATTTCACATTTAACATTTCTCTCATTTATTTAAATGTGAACAGGAAATCCAAGTTTAATTATAAACCTCCAGATTTTCAAGATCGAATATAATTAAACAAGGTAGAATCATCTATTCAATCATTAACAATTAACGATTTCCCTTTAAATTTGGTCTTTGATGTAAGATGTGCCCCACTATTTTAGCGAGCACCCCAAGACATCAATGAAGTGTTGACCCATCAATCCAGCTATTTTATATAAAACAGGTGGCACTACCTATTTTAGTCTAGTGGTCCCATTATACATAAAATACTTGGCATCCTTATGCGAGGTATAACTAGATAATAAATTTTAACAAACCCTATCCTTTGTGGCATCAGATAAGTTAAAAAATTATTATCCAAGTTATATCTCTATGATGGAAGACCTTTAGATTTATATTTCTTAAAAAAATAATCTATCTACACTTCTATACAACTTTTGTTATTTATTATAACTGAGAGAAAATAACAATAGTCAATTTCTAAAAAATTCTAAACTGTTTTATTTAATAAAACAAATTCAGAACAATTCTGGACCTTACAATAATTTTTTTATGTATTACTTTAATCACATGAATTATTGAATTTAAACAATTTAAAACCAACATGATCATATCATAAGTATAATACAAACAATATTTTAGAAATATACATGATACAATATCATTTCTAACAATTCACTAAGAGTTAGATAATATTTTCAATAAAAGAAACTAAACTATACATGCATATGGAATTTAGAACAATTTCTACAACTGCTAGGGACTAATCAAAAATTAGTCTATATATTCAGATGGATCTTAAAACAGTTTCAAAATCAATCAGGAGGGTGAAGCTAATTTCACATCAAAATTAATATACTAGTAGACTCAGAACAAATTCTGGATCAAATAGGGGTCTGTAACTAATTTTACAGTTATTCATCAATACTGGTGGACTTCAAAACAGTTTCTGAATCAAACAGGGGTCTGATAGCAATTCATCAACAGTTTCTGAATCAAACAGGGGTCTGATAGCAATTCATCAATACTCACAGACTCCAGAATAGTTTCTAGGTTTTTCAGGGAGCTATAACTAATTTGATAGTGTGTTTGAGAACCTGATGGACTTCAGAACAATTTCTGGATCAATCAGGGGTCTAATAATAATTTTACAGTAAAATTCAAATTATCAGGGTTTCGGGTTTGAGTTCTGTTTGCGGGTCAAACCCGTTTCATTAAACTTAAGTCTTAATGGGTTTGGATACATAACCCTTTATGAAAATAACCCATTAAGATCATCTTCTTCAATGAAGACCTAGGGTTAGGGTTTTGCTATAATTGTGGGATAGCCCACCACCACCAATTGTCCGGCGGCGGCGGCGGCGGTGAGCCCACCGCGGCCGGCGGGGCAACCGCACCGGCGGCCTATCTCCGGCGACCATCTCCGGCGATCAACCTTTTTTTTTTGTTTAATATTGTTGTGAGATCAAATCTCAACTCCGGTCATCTCCTCCTCCGCCGCCCATCCAATAGGCCACAACTACATTGATAAAGTAATTATAACAATTTAAAAACTCTATTTAGATCAAATCTAACAATAAGCTAAATATTACAACAATTGAAAAAGAAAAATTCTTTGATCTAATCATAAGAATTTTAACCCATAAACAATAACCCACTATTGTAAACATTGATTCCAGGTTATGAACAGTACCCACTCCGGCCGTGAACAGTGTTCTCGGCGATGAACAGTACTACCGAGCCGAGAACAGTGTTCTCGGTAATGAACAGTAACATAAGCTGATGAACAGTAACCCGAATAAAAAAATAATTTAATCTTATTAAATTATTATAGATTGGATTCTAAACCCGCTCTGATACCATTTGTTGGAAATATGACATACAACGCAGCGGAAAAAGCATATCATGACTATTAATCAAAATTAATTAAATATTAGAAAAATACCTGAAACGCTTTCCGAATTTCTACAATAATCTGTCCCGAGATCAATCCAAAATAGCTTCCTCAAGAGAAAAAGCCTCTAATTGAAATCCACCCGCCACCGTAGAGGAGCAATACTGAGAGATAGGTTCTCAAAAATCTATTTCTTCATATTATCTTCATAAGATTTTGAATCTCTTCTCTTTTTTTTCATAAGGCTACATATGAACCATATTTATAGGATTACACTAGTCTTAGAGATTTTAACTTTAAATAATTCATAATTATATAGAACTCTATCCATAACAATTAAGGATAGAATAGATTTGTTCAAAAACTTTATCCATAACAATTAAGGATAGAAATAGAATTGCATTGCATGTATACCTCTTCTAATGACATTAGTGAGACCAATTGAGTCCCATATCGAGAACCAATTATTAATCAAATTAATAATTTTAATTTAACAATCAAATCCCTATCCGACCAATCGTTCATAAAATCTCTTCCATAATATGGGATTAATTATTAATAAATAATATCTTACATTCAATCCCTTCTAGTATTATTTATTTTAGGCAACTCTTTTAAGCAAGACAACTCACCTATTTGCTCATGCCTAAATTTGTAATTTCCATGAACATAAATAAAAACTATTTTGAAACATCAAAATATTTTATTTTTTATAAGAAAATAAATTTTTTAAAATATTTTCAAAACCACCTGCCGGCAGGAATTTAATAGTTTCATGGGAATGCATAATAAATTAACTCATCATAATGAGCATACTGGATCCTATCTAGACATCCATTATTTTCCTAAATGAAATTTAGCAACCCAATGTTTCAGGTTGTGTAGCGCTTGCTAAACAAGCTTAACCATCACATCAAAGCATACTAAAATATCAAATCGAAAATAACAATATCATCAAGTCAAAGGGACCATGTAACAATTTGAACTCTCTATCTCTTAGGTGATTCTTCCTAGAGAATTCAAATACGGTCTAGTGCTACACACATCATAATGCGTGCTTATGACATACACCCGGAGAATCTCCATTCCCGATGGTTGAGACTCACCACCATATCTCATATATCGGTGTCATGCATAATAACCTGTTATAATAAAGTTATCCTTTACTAGTTATAGGTTAAGCACAAATTTAAGAAATTTCTAAGTTAGATCATATCTCCAAGCAAGTGACTATCACAGTGCATGATCTAACAAAATAACTTCTAAGGATATATATAACGATTATATAAATAATACCCAATTTATGTGCAACAATTAAATTTATTAACATTACAATATTATTACATAATTTGTATTGGATGTTCAAGGGCAAATTATTATTACTATTCCAGCAATACTGACAACCCTGATACGGTACTACCTATCCTTAAGGAGCTTACTACTAGTGGCATAACTTTCTGTCTTTACAGGTAACACTATTCTTTTTTTCTTTTTTTGAGAAAATAGGTCACATGTATTCATGTGATCTACATATAAAGAATCATACAAGACGACAGAGAAAAATATTTTGCAGTGGTGATGTCGATAGTGTAGTTCCGATAACATCTACGAGATACTCCATCAAAATGCTTGGACTGCCAGTTAAGACCTCATGGCGCCCATTGTATGTTAACAATGAGGTAAAATTCTTTCAGGAGAGTAAAAGACACCTAGTAGGTTTGATTCAGATAAATTTATGAGAAATGACATTACTTTTTATAAACTAGAAAGAAAACATTTGTTCAATACGGTAAAATTTCTAATGATCAAGTTGCATGATTTCAGGTTGGAGGGTACGTCGAGGGATACGACGGATTGACGCTAGTAACAGTTAGAGGAGCCGGACATGAGGTTCCCTGTTACCAGCCTGAAAGAGCATTACCCATAATCTCTTCTTTCCTCCAAGGACAACTTCCATCTAAACAAGCAAAACAATAGTCTAAGTGAAGACGCATGCTTCATATTTTCTGCCCTTCGTCCGTCATGATGTAACAGACGAGTCAGAAGAACAATCAAGGGTTTCATTTTCTTTTCCTGCATTGGTCTAAAAACAATGAATATTTCAAAATCGAAAGGAGTTGGTTTCTGTCGAGTAGCTTGTTTTCTCCCTTTCTATTCTAGAATCTAGCATTATTTAATGGCTGTGTGGTCAAGGAATAATAACTTGTTTGATCAGACAAATGTTAGAAGAATCCTCTAAATCACAGCAGGCTTTCAAACCTCTATTTGATCATAATCAAAAAGAAAAAACCAAAATAAATTTGGAGCTATTCTATTCAACATTAAGAACCTTTTTTCTTTTCCAATTTTATTTTCCATGTACAACACTATTGAGGACCCTACAAGACCATTTAAATACCAATATGACAAACAACGTTAACTAGTGGTCTGAAGAAAACTCCTCTGAGAGAGACTGGTTACCTAACTATGGAATCTAACCTTTGTGGCTATAATGGCTCAGATTCTTCAAGTTTGAAATTATCCACAATATTGTGCGAGAAAATTTCAGTAATTCTATCTGTCCATCTCTCAACTAGCGATGATCCCTTCCTATACATGGTTGTGACGTGTTAATCTCTCTCTCCCTCTATCTATCTATATATCTATCTATCTATCTATTGTTGTGCGCGGCGGAAACTTTCTTGAGCAACACGAACAATAACTCGAACTAAACCACAACTAATATGCAAACACAACCACAGCAAGAACAAACAA